TAAACAAGTTACCCTCTCATGATATCAGTACCGCATCATAAACAAAATACCCTCTCAGGAAATCAGTACCACATCATAAACAAGATACCATCTCAGAATATCAGTACCACATCATAAACGAGTTACCCTCTCAGGATATCAGTATTCCATCATAAACGAGTTATCCTCTCAGGATATCAGTATTCAATCATAAACGAGTTACCCTCTCAGGTCATCAGTATCTGGTCATAAATAGGTAACCCTCTCAGGATATGAGTATTGCATCATAAACAAGATACCCTCTCAGGATATTAGTATCGCATCATAAACAAGATACCCTCTCAAGATATCAGTACCACGTCATAAACAAGATACCCTCTCAGGATATGAGTATCGCATCATAAACAAGAGACCCTCTCAGGATATCAGTATCGCATCATAAACAAGATACCCTCTCAGGATATCAGTATCGCATCATAAACAAGATACCCTCTCAGGATATCAGTATCGCATCATAAACAAGATACCCTCTCAGGATTCTCAGGATATCAGTACCGCATCATAAACGAGTTACCCTCTCAGGTCATCAGTATCACGTCATAAGTAGGTAACCCTCTCAGGATATCAGTACCGCATCATAAACGAGTTACCCTCTCAGGTCATCAGTATCTGGTCAAAAACAATATACCCTCTCAGGATATGAGTATCGCATCATAAACAAGAGACCCTCTCAGGATATCAGTATCGCATCATAAACAAGATACCCTCTCAGGATTCTCAGGATATCAGTACCGCATCATAAACGAGTTACCCTCTCAGGTCATCAGTATCACGTCATAAATAGGTAACCCTCTCAGGATATTAGTATTGCATCATAAACGAGTCACCCTCTCAGGTCATCAGTATCACGTCATAAGTAGGTAACCCTCTCAGGATATCAGTACCGCATCATAAACGAGTTACCCTCTCAGGTCATCAGTATCACGTCATAAATAGGTAACCCTCTCGGGATATCAATACCGCATCATAAACGAGTTACCCTCTCAGGATATCAGAACCGCATCATTAACAAGATACCCTCTCGGGATATTAGTACCACATCAAAAACAAGATACCCTCTCAAGATATCAGGACCACGTCATAAACAAGATACCCTCTAAGGATATCAGAACCTCATCATTAACAAGATACCCTCTCAGGATATTAGTAACACATCATAAACAAGATACCCTCTCAAGATATAAGTACCACGTCATAAACAAGATACCCTCTAAAGATATCAGAACCGCATCATTAACAAGATACCCTCTCGGGATATTAGTACCACATCAAAAACAAGATACCCTCTCAAGATATCAGTACCACGTCATAAACAAGATACCCTCTCAGGATATGAGTATCGCATCATAAACAAGAGACCCTCTCAGGATATCAGTATCGCATCATAAACAAGATACCCTCTCAGGATTCTCAGGATATCAGTACCGCATCATAAACGAGTTACCCTCTCAGGATATCAGTATTGCATCATAAACGAGTCACCCTCTCAGGTCATCAGTATCTGGTCATAAATAGGTAACCCTCTCAGGATATCAGTACCGCATCATAAACGAGTTACCCTCTCAGGATATCAGTATTGCATCATAAACAAGATACCCTCTCAGGATATTAGTACCACATAATCAACAAGATACCCTCTCAGGTCATCAGTATCTGATCAAAAACAAGATACCCTCTCAGGATATGAGTATCGCATCATAAACAAGATACCCTCTCAGGATATCAGAACCGCATCATTAACAAGATACCCTCTCAGGATATTAGTACCACATCATCAACAAGATACCCTCTCAGGTCATCAGTATCTGGTCAAAAACAAGATACCCTCTCAGGATATGAGTATCGCATCATAAACAAGATACCCTCTCAGGATATCAGTATCGCATCATAAACAAGATACCCTCTCAAGATATCAGTACCACG